AAAGCCCTCTCTGCCTTCCATCAGAATGGCTAATGCTAACCCCCAGAAATGTGACACATTCTTCAGCTCACATGAAGTGGAAAGATTATACTGAATCCATTCCTAGGTTAGATGCAAAAAAAGTTTGTTCACTGTGCTAGACAATTTTTCTCTCCAGAATCTATCACACATTTCTATAAGTCTACCATTGCTTAGAATGCTGCTGCTACGTATGATTAAGTGCTCCTGCTTTTTATCTAAAGCTCCTTGATAAAATCCAAAGAAGAATCAGTAATATTACTGGTCCTGATGTGGCATCTCAGCTAGAGTCATTTTCCCACCTCAGTAAGGTTGTCTCGCTGTGTCTTTTCTATAAATACTTTCATGGTAATTGTTCAGATGAGTTCTTCACTATGGTACATAGACTTTATGAATTTAAGCGCACCGTGAAGTAATTTTGATAGCGGCTTGGATTGAGGAATCAGAGAGCCAAGTTTGAATTCCAATCAAATCCATTACATTCACTTACATGCTAATACCCTTGGGAAAGGTATAAATCCTCTTCTTCTCCCCCAAACTATGGGTAAATAGCAGGACAGACCGAGTTCTATAGCCTTGGATGGTAATTGGCCTACCACAGAAAGAAATGGCAACCTACTATGGGAAAAAAATCTGTCTCGTCAGTCATGTGTCAAAAGATATATGATCGTCTAAGTGTGTATCACGCATGACACATAACTGACTGACTAGACTGGTATTGAGATCTCATCAATTTACAGTTCAAATGGCTAGATGTAACTGTAAATTCTATGCTAACAGTTTCTTTTCTTGTACTTCTCGCTTGTGGAACTCTCTTTCAGCTCCATGCTTTCCAGCCAACTTTAATCTGTAAAAATTTAACTGCAATGCCAATCGCTATCTAATGTCCTCCTGATTACTTTTCTTTTGTTTTCACTCCTTAGTAATATTTCTGTTTCAAATTCTTCCACACCAAGTAACCCCTTGTGTCTTAGTGGCTTTACTGCCTTGCTTGGGGTTAATTCAATAAAAAAAAAAATTATTTTTGTTATTTATTTTTCAAGGAGATTATATACATATATATTTTAATATATCTTTCTAAATGTTTAAAAACAAATGCATTAAGCTCACAGTGTTTGGCCTGCTATCAATTAGGGATTACCGTAAAGTACTTAACTAGTTTTCATTAAATTTTACAAGTACTTACTGTTATATTTTTTATTGCAAGAAATCTAACATAAAATCATTTCTCATATCAACCCCCCATCACTTTATTCAAATGCAAAGATTCTTGATAAAATCCAAAGAAAAATCAGCAATATTATTGGTCCTGACATCTCAGCTTCAGTCAGTTTCCCACTGTCATAAGGCTGCCTCCCTGTGCCTTTTTTATAAATATTTTCATGCTAATTGTTTGGATGAGCACTTCACTATGGTACCTAGAATTTTTTAATTTAAGCACAATACTCTATGGTGACAAGGTCTCATCAATTTACAGTTAAGTTGGTTAGATGTAACTGTAAATAGTTTCTTTTCTCACACTTCTCACTTGTGGAACTCCATTCTAGCTCCATACTTTCTAAACAACTTTAATCTTCAAAAATTTAAATGCAATCTCAATCACTATCTACTGTCCTCCTGATTACTCTTTATTTGTTCTCAATCCTTAGTAATATTTCTGTTTCTAAATCTTCCACCCTCAGTAACCTATTGTGCCTTAGTGGCTTTACTGCCTTGCTTGGGGTGAATTCGATTAAAAAAAAAGATCAATCAAAGGTCGAGTTCAATCCTCACCGGCACCCATCACCGTATCCTTGAGCCAGACTTACCTAAACTTAATAAATAGATAAAATATATATTTGTATGCATGTATGTTAAGCAAGTTTGTATTTCTGTATAGATATATAAATATACATGCAGGAAATATGTTTTTTTAATCATTTCAACACAAGCAAGTCATGAAGAAGGAAGGGGTTATTGAGTGTTAGAGAATATGAGAAAAAGAAAAATGTTATTCAAGAGAGAGAACAATAAAAGAACAGGAATTAAGAAGATGACGATTGGCATTTAAATTTTTGAAGGGAGGCAGGAGTAAACATTTGTATGACTCTATCTGATCAAGCCCAGCTTATCATCAATGGCTTGCGAGATGTCCAGAATTTGTTCAGAATAGAGATTTTGTGATCACATAATGATTTTATTTTTATATATGCATATACATCTTTTGTGGAACTATCTTTTGGCTTTTTGCTTTCTAGTCAACTTTGATCTTTAAAATTTTTAAAGACAATGTCAATCCTTATCTTCTGTTTTCCTAACTCCTTTTCATTTATTGTTCTCTCTCCTCATTAATGCTTTTCCTCAGACTCTTTCGTTCTCAGTAACCTCTTGTGTCTTAGAGACTTTATCACTTTGCTCTAGGTGAAATGATTAAAAAACCATATACACATATATTTGTGTGTGTGTGTGCACGCTTCTGTGTCTCTGATTGCATATATGTGTTTATGCTTGTCTGTGTCTACATGGATACCAATACAATTAATTGATAAAGATTGTCAAAAGAGCAGTAAAGTAATTCCAGACCCCAAGCTAATAATAGTGTAATAGTGGTTGACTGGCAAAGACACCTGCCACATTCATACAGACATAAATGCACACACACACACACACACACACACACACACACACACACACACTATATTAATAAGCTTATGGTCACATCACATTAAAATACCAGTTCCTGTATGATCACTGACGTTAAGCAATATCAAGCCAGGTCAGTTTCTAGATGGGTAACAGCAAAAATTGCAATATGAGCACTGGTAAAAAATTGTTGCTGAAGACATTAGGTTTATAATACCCAGAAATTCATACACAGATGTCCTCAAGGACACATGGCACAGTGGATAAAGGTGTTAGATCCAGTGACAGGAGTTCAATACCCGGTTAAGGTGGTGGAGAACTTGGAGAAGGGAATTAGCAGGAGATAACTGATAACTGACATCCATTAGACATGGCACGTGGAACTAGAACAGTCTACCCCAGTGAGCAAAATAAAGGGTTCAGTTCAACATTCCAACCACCTGAAGAAGGCTGAAAACCTTGTGATAAATATGGCAACAATGATGAGGATGATAGTCCGAGCAATGTAAATAGTGAACAAAAAAATTCTTACAATCTAAAAGTATTTTCTGGCTTTAAATAACCTGGATTGATAAACTGTAAAAAAATTAATCAATCAATAAAACACACATTAATAGTGACATTAATATTAGATTTTAATTTTTTTTTTTATAATATGTACTTAATCATATATGCTTGTTTATATCAGATGATGATACTATTTCTATACATTATCTTTTTGATATTATATCTTTATATATATCTTTATATATGTATCTTTATGATACTATATCTATACACTAGCTTTTTCATCTTACTGCTGTTGTGCATTTGATTACAATACAATAATTTAGTTATATTACTTTTGTCTTGGTTTTTATTTGTATTCTTATTGTTTGATAAATTTGACAAACTATTTTAATTGATAAATTGTTTAATTGACATGATTATATGTGTCACCATCATTAAATAAGTTTCCTCAGATCAGAATGAAAGAAATATATGTGTTTGATTTGAGGAGGCCTATCTAATGATGGTGAAACATGTAATCAAGTCCATACAAAAAGTTTTCCACTTGACAAATTTTTCAAACTTTTTCTGGATTCTATATCCTATTCATACACATATTGTTGACACAGAAAACACAAAGACAGACTGAAAATATATGAATCTTTTGCTTTCAACCGATTCAGAAAAAATTGAGTAAGGATTTATCTAAAAGCTGAGAGACTATTATAAACAAATTTTGACAAAACAAGAAAATTGAAAATAAAATAATTATGAATTACAATAACAGCCTTTATACAAAAGTCACACAATTTCATTCTTTCATCCTGACCAAAAGATGCCAGCTTAGTGGGAAAGGATTAATGATTTAATAGTGAAGCACACACACATATATATTTCTTTCATTCTCATCTGAGGAATACTATTAGGGATGACAAAATGTGTAATCAAGTCCATAAAAGTTTTCCACTTGACAAATTTTTTCAAACTTTGTCTGGATTCGATATCATGTTTATGCACATTTTTATTGCTATGTCTTTTTTGTAGATTCATTTTTATTTGTTAGCCAATTATATAATCCGAAAATCTGTTTTTAATTACCATTTCTTTTTTAGGTCAGTGAGGTCTTCTGAAAAAGTGTATATACACACACACACATACAAACATGCACATACAAAATACTAATTAAATACATATAAACACACAACATATACATATATATATATATATATATATATATATATATATATATATATATATATATATATATATATATAAAAAGATTAAATATATAAATAGCTTACACAGAAATTGTAAGAATATTGATGGTGTAATCATAAATGCAGTCAGCTTGAAGTTGAACCAATGAACAGGAATCTGTGCTTGGGTAAGTTTTCCACTCTTCTATGTCTGCTACAGTCAGTACATTTACATGTGAGTAATTTTTATTATACTTTGGGTGGCTGCCTACCATGTGTAAGCGCATAAATATTTAGATAAATAATCTTGCGGTAAAATAATGATATATGAGCGTATACTAGTACCTATATGTGTATATGCGCGCATGCGTGCATATGCACACATATAGCAATAATGACAGGAATCACACTCACACTAACGTAAAATAAATGTATTGATACTCATATTTAACTAGTCTGTCTCTTTCTTTTCACTCTCACACTTTTTCTCTTCTTCTGCTTCTCCCTTACATCTTATACTATTTCCTTTATCCAGAAACATTTCCCCCAGTTTTCTCTCTTCTTTTCTTTCTTCTTAAACAAGCATAATCTCATGTGTTGGCAATGATATTCAAGGAAGATTCTAGCCATCCATGGAAGTTTACAATTTATCCACAAGCAATAAATAAGGATAGGATGAGTTTTATATTTATCTGTCTGTCTATCTATCTATCTATCTATCTATGTGTTTCTATATTCACCTGTTCATCCCTCTATCTATCACTATCTAACTTAGATAGATAGATAGATAGATAGATAGATAGATAGATAGAAGGCTAAACAGACTATCTCATTCTGTTCATCCTTCTATCTATCTATCTATATATCTATCTCAGCCTGTTCATCCTTCTATCTCAATCTGTTCATCCTTCTATATATCTATATATCTCAAACTGCTCATACTTTTAGCTATCTCTGTTTACCCTTCTATCTATCTATCTATCTATCTATCTATATATCTATCTATCTATATATCTATCTATCTATCTGTCTCTGTTCAATCCTTCTATCTATATATCTGTTCACCCTTCTATCTATCTATCTATCTATCTATCTATCTATCTATCTGTCTCTGTTCAATCCTTCTATCTATATATCTGTTCACCCTTCTATCTATCTATCTATCTATCTATCTATCTATCTATCTGTCTCTGTTCAATCCTTCTATCTATATATCTGTTCACCCTTCTATCTATCTATCTATCTATCTATCTGTCTCTGTTCAATCCTTCTATCTATATATCTGTTCACCCTTCTATCTATCTATCTATCTATCTATCTCTGTTCAATCCTTCTATCTATATATCTGTTCACCCTTCTATCTATCTATCTATCTATCTATCTCTGTTCAATCCTTCTATCTATATATCTGTTCACCCTTCTATCTATCTATCTATCTATCTATCTATCTATCTATGTATCTCAATCTGCTCATCCTTCTATCTATCTATATATCTGTTCATTATTCTATCTACTTATCGATCTATCTAAATCAGTCTGTTCATCCTTTTATCTATCTGAGATAGATAAATAGAAGAGAGATAGATAGAAGGATGAATAGACTGTGATAGATAAATAAATAGAAGGATGAACAGACTGAAATAGAGATAGATAGAAGGATGAACAGACTGAAATTGAGATAGATAGAAGGATGAACAGACTGAGGTAGATATACAGATAAATAGATACATCAAAGGATGAACAGACTGAGATAGATAGTAGAATGAACAGACTGTGATAGATAGATAAATAGATGGATAGAAAGATGAAGAGACTGAGATAGATAAATAAATCGATAGAAGGATGAACAGACTTAGATTGATAGGTAGATAGAATAATGAACAGACAGATATAGATAGATAGAAAGATGAGCAGATTGAGATACATACATTGATAGATAGAAGGATGAAAAGACTGAGATAGTCTGTTCATCCTACTATCTATTTATCTATCTCAGTATCTTCATCCTTCTATCTCTCACACTATCTGTCTCAATCTGTTCATCCTTTTACCTCTCTATCTCAGTCTGTTAATCTTTCTATCTATCTATCTCAGTCTGTTCATCTTTTTACCTATCTCAGTTCATTCTTCTATCTATCTATCTCAGTCAGTTTATTCTCCTATCTATCTATCTCAGTCAGTTTATTCTCCTATCTAAATCTGTCTATTCCTCTATCTCAGTTTGTTCATTCTTCTATCTATCTATCTATCTATCTATCTATCTATCTATCTATCTATCTCAGTCCCCATTTTTGATATCCTGTCCCAATCCAATGTCAAAAAACGCATAGATTAGTGGAATTACTTACATTTTTGCAAATATCTGTTCATGCTTATGTAAGTATTAGACGGTGCTGAACAGATTTCTGCTTAACCTGCTTATCAAAGTTAGTATTCTAATGTATAGTCATTAAATTATTTATTTTCCTATTCATGGTGGTGTGTTAGGCTGAGAACTTTTAAACACCCTTTCACATAATATACAAACTCAAGTCGGTATTCAACCCAGAATGTTGATTCTGAAATCATGTGCATGTGTGCGTAAAATTTCAGATATAACTAAAATGTATCTGTAAAAGAACAATATGAATAAAGACAAAAGGAAAACTTATCTGAGCTGACGCATTTTGCACTCTGATGGACAAGGCAACTGTGCCATCAGGAGATGAAACATGTTGGTTCAGTTGTTTTCCTTTCGTCTTTATTCATATATATATATATATATATATATATATATATATATATATATACAAACAGGTTTGGTTAAATAATTTAGATATATCATGTCGATTAGTTTCATTGTGATCCTTTCATGTTTGCAGATTAATTTCCTAGCCTTAGAAAATTGATTAATAAAAATAACAAAATTTTCTTTCAAATAGTTTTTATTTTCCCAAGTACTTTCAATGTTATCTATGACCATCTTGTGGGGTTTAAGATGTCTGTGAGTATGTAAAGGTGTTTCTGTAAATTTAAAACATTTCAACTGTTCGTTTTTACTGCTTATGCAGCATTCTAGATTTATGTGTGTGTGGAGATGTTAAGACAAGGTGAAAAAGCAATGCGTTTCACCAACATATGCTGGGTTCACTTTTTTCAGGTCAAAATGAAAGACGAAACTCTGTGTAAGGAAAATGTGTTGGGATTTTTAAGGATAAGAGGGCAATAAATTAAATTACCTTATCAGATCCAATGACCAGAAATCAGAAAGTGTTTGTTGGTCTTTATATATATATATATATATATATATATATATAAAGGTGCATTAATTTACAAATTCATGAATTATTCATACAAAAAACAATTATAGGTTCGGGGTTTTTGTATATTATTTGAATTGTTCGCAACGATGGATTTCTCGCCAATTAAATCATTAACCTTTGTATTTGTTTTTTGTATGAATAATTCATGAATTTGTAAATTAATTGCACCTTTATTGAAATTAAAATAACTGATCCAAGTGCAACGTTTGGATAATAAGTGCAACATTACTGTAATTATTGAACAATAAAGTTCATGCCACTTTGACAGAAAATTTACCAGTAAAAAAGAATTCACTTATCACCATATTTGTACAAAAACGCACAATTGTAAAATTTAAATTCAAACTCAGCGTTGCAACTGCACGCTCCTAAAACAATAACTCATTTCTAATAGCATTTTCGGATACAACAATACATATATTTTCGTTGTCCTCTTATTACTGAGAGTAAAAATAAGAACAAAATCTATTCCATACCTGAGGATGTCTGTAGGAACAGATGAAAGCTTGTAAAAATAATAAGAACTTATGCAACAGAAATTTATAGAAACAAGGATCTTTTCATTCATAAACAGGTTCGGGTTTTTTGTATATTATTTGAATTGTTCGCAACGATGGATTTCTCGCCAATTAAATTATTAACCTTTTGTATTTGTTTTCTGTATATATATATATATATATATATATATATATATATATATATATATATATATATATATATATATATACACTCATGTATCATGCGACTTTTGAAGACCTAATTTTGAAGCTAATTTTAAGAGGGTTGCATCATACTCAAGATATAAAATTTGCATATGTGCTGTTGGCCCTGGTTATGCCATTGACCAATCTGTATATCCATTTACTGCAGTCAGAAAGTACAGCTGTATCTAAAATAAACATGATTTTGATTAAACTGATACTTAACTGTATCCAATAATAATGCATGTAATATTCACATATTAGTATCATATTATAAAATACAAACATATCAAATATGCATCTTTTCTATTGTTTATGTTTATAAGATGTTAAGTGTTTCTTGTTCAGTTGTTTATGGCAGTATGTGTTTACACAATGAGTATAGTGTTACTAATGATACTTTTATCATTCTCTTACTTTTTTAACTTATTTAACTAAAAGATAGGATAAAGAGATCAAGGAAAGAGGTTAGTCTATTGTAACTTGGTCTCACAAAAAAGAACTCGCATGATGCATGAGATACATGATAAAATCATATTTTATAAGTAAAAATTTGGGGATTGCATGATATGTGATATTGAAACTTACACAAGTATATATAGGCAAATCTCTACCTTTCCTTGACATCTTACATAACAATAACAAATTAGATTTTAGGATTTACCATAAACCCACTAACAAAAAAATTTGATTTATTTCTATTCCTACCAGTCTAAAAAATAAAATCAGGACTAGTAGCAGCCTGGATTGACAAATCGCAGAGCTGAGTTCAAATTCCAGTTGAATCCATTACATTCACTCACATGCTAATACCCTTGGGAAAGGTATGAATCCTCTTCTTCTCTCCTACTAGCTATGGGTAAATAGCAAAACAGACTGGGTTCTATAGCCTTGGATGGCAACTGGTCTACTGCAAAAAGAAATGGCAGCCTACTGCGGGGAAAAAATCTGCCTCATCAGTCATGTATCGAAAGATACACGATCGCCTAAGTATGTATTACGTATGTCACATAAATGACTGATATAAAGCAATATTTATGTATTTTTCAGTTAGGCTTGGAATCTGTTAATTTTTTTGAGCTTCAAAAGGATGCTTAACCAATGAGGACCAGACAACAAAAAAAATAAAAATATCAGAACTTCTTTCTTTTTTTCTTCACATCCCATTCTCCGGTGAAACTTTAATAAAAGTGAAACATGTTAGATTGATAAACCTTTCCTATTTGTTCTTTATCTTATCATTAACAATCTGTCTGTGGATGACAGTATATATGCTCCTGAAAAATTATTTCGGTTGAGCTCTCTGGGAAGAAAGTGTGAGTTTGTAAACAGTGACTATTACTGCTACTAATGCAATAGTCTTCAATAAAATAAATCGAGTTCTTTCAGTCACTGGCACGTTTATCAAGTTCTTTCAGTCACTGGCATGTTTATCTAAAAATAAATACACTTAAATTCACCTTCATCCCTGTTGTGCACCAATGGCTTAGGGTTAGATTCTCTGACTGACGCCAATTCAGCCGGGTTTCGATCCTAGCTAGAGGCAACCAGACATCTAGTCACATTGATATATATATATACATATATATGTACATATATATATATATATATGTACATATATATATATTTATTTATTCAAAAATTATAGCACAAACATTATAACATGTTTATGTTATAATTTTTGAATAAGTAATATTTGATCTACTCTGTATTGAGCACTCTTTTAAGAACACACACACACATGCATATTCTATCAAACACTTTCTGGTTTCTGGTCATCAGATCTGAAAAGGTAATTTAATTTATTGCACCTCTTATACACAAAAATCACAATGCATTTTCTTTACACGCAATTTTTTCTTTCATTCTGACCTGAAGAAGTCAGATTCAATACATTTAGTGAAACATGTCTTTTATAAGATTTCCCACTATGTCTCATGATCACTTTTGTTTTGATATTTATATATATATATATATATATATATATATATATATATATATATATATATATATATACACACACACACACACACACACACACACACACACACACACACACACACACACACACACACACACAAATGCCTGCTACTCGTTTTATAAGCATACCCATCTGCTGGACAGATTGTTTTTTTTGTCCTTTTGTCTTTATTCATATTGTCTTTATACAGTTAATCTATCTGAAATTTTACACACATAAACACACACAAACACACACACATATATATATGTTAGTAATTTGGTGTATTTTTCTCACAGACTACTTCATTATCTTGATGGTAGCTTATAAATATCAATGTTAAAATTTTACAATAGTCAGTTTTTTATTTGTGTTTGATGACTGCCATGTGCATGAAATTCAGCATTGTACGATGAAGAAGATTTATACATATATCAGAGGACACTGAAGTCAACACCCAGAGGCAACAGTCTGTTTCAAGCTAAACATAATCATCAGGCCATTACATTTAGCATGAAACAGACTGTCACCTCTGGGTGTTGACTTCAATGTCCACTTTTATATTTACATACACTTTATCCCAGATATTGAGCACTTTAACCCATAAATATAACATACCTTAAAACTATATTTTACCATATATATATATATATATATATATATATATATATATATATATATATATATACAGTATTTACATTAGTGGACTATTGTCCTCATCTTTGTCGCCCTCAAGGACACATGGCAGTGGATAAAGGCGTTGGTTAGATCCAGTGACAGACCCAAAGAAGGTGAGTTCAATACCTGGTTAAGGCAGTGGAGAACTTTCAGAGGGAAAATTAGCAGGAGATAACTGATAACTGACATCCATCAAACATGGCATGTGGAACTAGAACAGGCTACCCCAGTGATCGAAATAAAGGGTTCAGTTCGAAATTCCAACCACCTGAAGAAGGCCGGAGCGCATAAACGGTCGAAATGTTGTGAAAAATATGGCGACAAAAGATGAGGACAATAGTTCGACTAATGTAAATACTGTACATAATACCTCATCTCAGAAATATAGATATAGATATATATATATATATATATATATAAAGGGTGTCTCAAAAGTCATGCAACAATTGGCAGAAAATATATACTTTGGAAAGAGCAATCAGGAAATTTGCATGACATTAATCTTTCATAATTAAGCCAATAAAATTTCATAATAATATATTTTCACATATAAAAACATTAAATAATTTGGTAAATAAATATAAAATTTACAAAGCTGTCCAATAGTAGTGCAACTTTTGGGATACCCTGTATATATATATATATATATATATA